GCTGGGCATTGTAGCAGGCACCTGTAGTCCCAGTTTCTTGGGAGGCTGAGGCAAGAGAATCGCTTAAGCCCAAGAGTTGCAGTGAGCTGTAATGCCATTATGTCATAATGAGATTATCTCAAAAAAAAAAAAAAAAAGCTTAAGGTTAAGCCCTGGGTTCAGGCAAACCTGGGACAGACTGAGGCCTCCCTTATTTTCTGTACAGTTAAATCAAGAGTGTCCTTTTCCTTAGTTTTGTTTTTAATCAGTACCTGATAATTGCACATATATGAAGTACAGTGTGATGATTCAATACATGTATCCACTGTGTAATGACAGTGAATGTAGCCAAGATAATTAAGTAGCACCCAACTTTTGTGTCAAGTCTTAGATTTAACTGACTCAGCGGAAGTGTGGTATAATCAAAGCTGAACATTTCTGATAACTCAGTGGTTATGGTGCTAATTTATACACTGTAGATTCTCCTATAAGCTGGGATTTCTACAAATCCTGGTTAGGAGGCCTAACTGTAGCTAAGGGAGGCTACGTGACATGCTTAAAGGAGGTAGATCTTCACCAATGGCCTCATGCCCCAAGCACGGCAAATAGCAGGTCACTACAAAGAGCAGATAGAAACTAAGCCAAAAAACACCACGTATTGTGTGAAATCCTAAAGTCATCCATGAAGGGAATTGAAGTCTAAAATTAAGTCCACAGTCTACATGATGGAGGCTTAGTCAAACATCGACTTTACATTTTTAAAGTAATGAGAATTTACAACTCCTAGACGTGAGCAAGCTAAGTGAATGAGATCCCGACCTCCTAACTAGTAAAACAAAATAAAGCTATTGATTGCAAAGGTTGTAAGGATTCTAAAAAATAATGCTTGTAAAATTCAGTATAGCCTGATTTGTAGGGTTTAATAAGCATGTGATGTTTTTGTTCATGCCTAAATGAACTAACTTTACAATATAGGGCTGTCTACTTACATTTTAAAGCTTTATGTTGTTCTAGTGAATACTGTTTAGGTAGATATATTTTTCCTTTTCTTTATCTGTCATGAGAAGGTAGATACTTGTAATTGAAACATTAAGATCTATGCTAGACTAAGTCATTGGGAGTTTCTAGGACCACCCAAAAGCCATAGTATGATGAAACCAGCAGGCTTAAAGGCAGGCCAAGAACGCCAGGGGAAACGAACACTGGGCAGAATTTTTTTTTTTTTTTTAAGAGACCAAGACTCACTTTGTCGCACTTGGTAGTGTGCCGTGGTGTCATAGCCCACAGCAACTTCAAACTCGGGCTCTAGCGATTCTCTTGCTTCAGCCTCCTGAGTATCTGGGATCACAGGCCCCTACTACAATGTCTGGCTGAGAGATGAGTTCTCACTCTGGCTCAGGCAATCCACCTGCCTCAGTCTCCCAGAGTGCTAGGGTTATAGGCATGAGTCACTGAGCCCAGCCCCACTGGGTAGAATTTCTGAGCAGAAATAGAACAACGCAAAAGAGATTGCACAGAGCTGGAAACCCGTGATGTTACATTTATGCTGGGCTGATTCTCATATGAAAATAGTCAGCAAAGAATATAGTCCATGCATCAAATCTAGCCCACTGCCTTTTTTTTTAATAGAGGTAACACAGCTATACTCATTTCATCCATTTTAAGTTGACACAACAGCAGCCAGAGGCCATATGGCCCACAAAGCCTGAAATACTATGTAGCCCTTTACAGAAAAAAAAAAATTCTTTTAGCAACCCTACCTTGTAACTCAACCTATCTCCAATTGCAGAAAATAGGATGTCATAATGTATTTTAAGGACACACATAAAACTGACCAAACCCCATCCCAAATCTCCAGGGTAGTTAATGCAAACAGTAACATCTCTCTCCTTGTTTCTTCCTCTTCTCATTCTCACCAGGTTCTTTCCAGTTACATTTTAAAATAATTATTAAACACCTTCCTTTCTACTCTGCTCGAATTCCTGTGAGCACACAGACATAAGGACTTACACCAGGGTCTGTAGTTTACATTCAGGGTACCCCAAGCCCTCACACAGAAACTTCACTCCACCATCCCCGAGGTCATTCTTGGCCAAGGACAGGTAAGTCAGCTGCTGACTGACCACCAAAACAGAAGCAAGTTGCTTACAGCAGGCTTCTGTAAGGTGACAGTTCTCCAAC